GGCGTTTACACCTACTAGTAATCTTTCGCGAAGATTACAGTTCCATTGTGACCAGCCACAAATGTTAATATGTGCAATTTTCAGTCCACTGAGCTGAGTTGAATCCTATTCTGTATTACCGTGCATAGTCTCCAGGCGACCTTGGTTCACTTCTTTTCGATTTCCACGTTGGTTGTAAGTCTTACGCACAGTTTTACCACTACCGGTGATGCGAAAATCGCTACCATTTGGCAATTCGTTGAGTAGGGTACGAGCATTAAGCTCCAGTAGCCTATCCGTATGTGTTTTACTAGACCGAAGAAACACCCGTTGAAATTCGGCACTGTCTTTCAAACGATGTTTTGCACGAAGTATTTGCTTCTTTTGTTCTAGATCCTTACATGCAAATTTTACTAACCCCGGGACACCTGGTTGTCGAGATTGTAATCGGACTGCTTTTAAATTAATAATTGTTGTATTATCCGCAACGTCATCGCCAAGTTTTTTAAGCATACTATTAAGTACACCAACAAGATTTTCATCAACATTTTGTTTAAGACCAGACACAATTAATGTAATGTCGGGGTTATCCAAAGGGTCGACATCTAACGTGCCACGAGCCACCTGTTGTACCTTGCTTTCCATGTCTAATAACTTTGCGTCTAATCGACCAATTTCCAGTGCAAATGAATCAGAAAGCTCCTTCATTTTACTTGCCATGGTTTTAGTTAAATCTGTTCTCAGGCGATCTATCTTACTGTCGATCAAACGTTGAATTGTATTCTGACCGTCACACAACTGCTTCAACATTGCTCCCTCATTGTTAGTGGCTTCGTCCATCGTGTCCGAGTCATTAGAATTTGGCCTCGGGCGTTTTTCTTGTCCAGCCATAATCATTCATAAACGAGATGAACACGAGAGGAAACGTTGTACTCACTAAAAGTTAGTAAGACGTCTCGTAGTTGCTTGCGTAGTCGAATAACTAAAATTCGGCAGGTTTTGTTAAGAGCGATCACAACACGTTGTACACCAGATAATCACGCCCTACTATGATTGTGGTGGTGAACTGTTTAGCTGATTTTTCAAAAGATGGATACTCAATACATATTCATCCCAATTTATTTGAATATTCTTTCGGAAATTTGAGACATTGTTCAAAAAATCCTGTACAGGGATATGTCTGATGTCAACTAATAACACGCAGATATCCAGGCAGTACTTTAATTATTGCTGATACTAATTATGGTTTGTATTGGGGAGTTGGATACTTGAACGTGTAGTTCCCGGGCGTGTAGTAGACAAGCATAATCGTACTGTCACATGTTTTTCGTCTTAGCCTTGTCTTTTCGTCGCAGTCCGCTTCATTGAATGTTTATAAACATATATTCAGTGTGAGACTGTTTCTTTCAAGTTGTATTAATACAAAGATGATTTAAACTTGTGCCTTCCATTGCCAATGTATTCAATATACGGAAATAGCATGTGTGTGCGTTTGCGTGAGTGAAAAATGCAGGTGAGATTTCACGTCCCAACGCGTTCTATTTATTTCCAATGCGCGTGGTCGGCGTTTATTTTGTTCTTCCTTTCGCGAAATCTATCGCTATTTATTTTGTTATGTCTCACAACTGAATGTCCAAGCTGACTTTGTTTTGACTGTAATGTGCTGCATGGTTCTGAAGAAAATTATTAATAATGTTTGCTATTTTTCATGTTCACCCCATTTTCAGAATATTAAATGTGACGAGAAAAAGTCATGTGACTGCTAATATACAGAATGCTCATATCCAGAATATGCCTATCTCTTAAATAAGGGTTCAAAATGGCAACTTCCGGCTTAACTTCATTACAAGATGGAAAACAAGGTTTCATAAACGTCTGATTAATCATTTCTGAGATTTGGATGATGAAAGATTCTGTTGCAGAAAAAGAGACACGACCCTAATTAAATACAACTGTATTGGAAAAAAAAATGAAAAAATAAATAATAAAAATAAAAAATGAAAAAACAAGCATCTAATTTTGATATGATTGCTGTTGGAGATGGTTAAATTGATTCAGGTGTAACTTATCAAGAATTACAACTGTACATGTAATTAATTGACTATAATATGAATCAACAAAATGCACATCCTTACCTATGAAATGGTACAGAATTCCTGAGTAAATTCTCTATATCTATGGGATCAGCCTGTGCAATGTTAGCTATGGTATGATATCCACCATTGTACAGGATTCTAGCTCTTTGGCCATTCAATAAAGAGATTCTCACCAAGTCACAAAGCTCTCGCTGAACACCAAAGTTTAAACGATTCTGAAACTGTTCTAGTAAAATCTCCAAGTTGATCCAACCAAGTCTGCTACAGAACACAGTCACCATACCTTCAAGTAAAGTTAACACTGTCAACATTGCATTACTAGCTTACACAAAATCTAGAAGTCTATAACTACAGCTGATTTTTGAATGCCAGTCACTGCACAACTGAACTTTGCATACATGTATATGCATGTAATTTAGGTAGCCAAGGTGTGTCTCTTCTCACTCAAAGTTGAACATGGTGATCAGAATTATTCTACCTTTTATCAACTCATGTTTTTGGAATTGCAAACATCATCTAAATATTGACACCAATGCTTGAGTCTCTGAAGCATACCTATATATAGAATGTCTTATGGTGAATTCCTCATGATATCACATGCAAAGGATCACTGGCTGGAGGTAATTTTGTTCTGACAATATTATTAAGTAAATTTAGACTATTCATTTTTTCTCCAATTGCTGAGACCAAACAGATCAACACTGTTTGGCTTGAAGAAACTGATATAACAATACGCTAAGAATGTTCAAAATATAATGCATACTCTAAACAGATTTAAGTTCAAGAAAGACAAATATTTTGTGAATTTTGCAAGTTCATGACAATCATGAAATTCTGTAGCAGTGACAATTTCTCTGGGGTCCTACAACTTTCACAAATTTTTTTCTCTATGAATGCCATAAAATTACAAAATTGTAAAAATTACTAACAGGAAAAATGAAGTGAAGTACTCACCAGAAAATGTTGCTGCCGATTGTTGTAACGACTGCAATTGACCTTTTGGTACACTATATTTCCTGGATACCTCAGCTATTGGAATTTCATTGACTAAATCCTCTAATATCATTGCAGTATAGAAACGTTTATGGATTGCTAGAACTCTCTGTTGTTTAAACGTAGACGTTGATATGCTTCCTCCGACAGCTCTGGCTAGGAATCGTTCTTCAATGCCGACAAGTTCACCAACACGTTTCTTATCAATAGACAAGGTTTCCCAAATATCAATGTATCTGTACCAGTCATTAACAATGCCTTGATCATAGATGGGAGTTACCTAAAAATCAAAAATAAACACTAGTACATGAAACAAAAAAACAATATTAGCCTTGCCCAATGATTTATGAATGAAGAGCAATCACTTGAGTGCAGGCACAATGATGCCAAAACATTTCAGAATCTATTTGAATGGTACATGTACATGTATAACGCCTTTGCCTGGAATGAGCCAAAAGTACCTTATTTTAAATGATATTCACATCAAAGCAGCAAAAAGAATAAGATACCCGGTACCTTAGACTGGCCCAGCTGTGGTGATTTAAAAAAAAAAAATAGTTTTGCGAAATAGTTTTTGCATGAAAATAACACGCCTCCAGTCCAAGTTTCTGTAGCTTTGATATTTGCTCTTGCATCAACGCAACCAAAGGAGAGATGACAATTACTATGGTTTTCAAGTTATCTGATTTGACAGTGCCAAACTGATTTTCATCTAAACAGAACGGAGCAACTTCAAATACAGCCTATTTGCTGCTTCCGGTCGGAGGGGCAACGAAAACGTTGTGGCCGTCAGGAAAACCATCAATTATTGTCTTCTGTGCAGATCGCAATACACTGTAACCCAATCTACACACGGGCTACTTCTCTCCATTAGAATAATTTGTACGGAACATTATTCATTTGTTATGATTGACGATCGAGAAACTTGACGAAAAGTGAAATCTTCAGGTACAAAGGTTAACTAGATATAGTTTAAAGGTCAAATTATTGTGATTGGATAACGTTCTTGCCTGTCATTCTGCTCATTAACATAAAAACTAGTATGAAAACACACTAGTTCCTGCTTTCACCACAGAGGGCGCATCAAAAACGTTCAGTCTGGGTGATTTCGAGGTTACAGGGGATTTTGCGTTAACACCTCCATTTCGCTATTTTTTTTATTATTTAATTTTCAATTTAAAAAGAAATAAATCGCCCAGACTGTGCCAGTCTACCGGTACCTATGAGCCACATCGACAGGGGCTGATTTACCTGATAAAGAATATGCAGTTCGTTTTCTAGGACAAAGCTTTTCCTGGCTCTTTGTAGTTCTGAAAATACCACCAATGCTTCATCTGGTGATAATGATGATGATAATGTAGCCGAGCCGAGCTGAGTAGCCACATATTTATCACTGCTTTCTGCACCTAAAACACAACATATTTATCAGTACATGTACATGTGTGTATGTAAACTGCTGTCTTTTACATTTATTAATACAAATTATCAACTGAAGGGATGAACATCGCTTAAGGTTCAGTGAAAAAATATCACATGTATATCACAAATCAAAGACAGTAGACACATTTCAAGTTCTCAGGTGTTTTCCATGCTTACCATATTACTGAATGCACTGGGGACAGAAAAGGGGGGGGGGGGGTTACTATCGGTTATCCATGAGTCTGTTTGCATCAGTTGTATTAAATTATAATTTCTTCTTATTCCTTTTGAGAGTATTAGTATAAAAACACTTTTTCTTAACTTTACAAAATTTTGTGAGCTTTCAAAGTGTGAGCTTTCAAGGAAAATGTCTACAATACAGAATCAATATGTGAGGTACAAAACTGAAATTGGTATAGTAACTTAACTGCCCAATACTGCGTATTTCAACTGGCCATAAGTAAATCCATGTTAATTCGATCCCCTTTACAAGCTAAGCTAAGCTAAGCAACTAGGGAACATTGGAAACCTCAAACAAGTCTGTTGACTGAAACATAAATTCACCATTTTTAACTTGATGTAGTCTTATGAATTCATTGTCCACCAAGAACTTGATACAATTCTGAATACTACCAAAGTTTGATGTAGATTCTGAAGTAGTCAAACTTGCTGCTAGTAGTGTGCACGATGCATATTTATCGACATCGGATGGACTGGTTGCGACACCACTTACAATCACCTACAAACAAACATGTATGCATTTAATTTTTGTCCATACTATAAATGTGTGTATTTTATTACCATTAGCGTTTGAAAAAGAGAATGCTAGGTTCCAAGTTATGACAAACAAAGTAGTGTCTTTGTTTGTGCGTTCTCTGGATGACTTAGACTTTTTAATTTTATTTACCATATCTTCAGTATGATTCATACTGTAAAGAGTTCACAAATCAGTTTATTTTTGATCTCACACAGGATTAGAAACCCTTATGTGTAATGTACACAGTTACAATAAAGGTGAATGTTCAATCTGTGAGGTCAATATCAATAACTTATATACTGTAAAGTCACTAATTCACAGGGTTTTAATTTCAAATTTGTGAAATTAAAACCAAATGAAATTGCTCAAAATAGCAAAATAGTGAAATTAAATGGCAATAAAATAATAATTACCTCTAAAATAGCTCTCTTCATACTGGATGTAGTTTCTTCACCATTTTCTTTTACCAAACAACTACACACTGGTTTTAGCTCCGTCTGCATCAGATGTTGTCCTTTACTTCTCTCATTTGATTTACATATGAGAATACTTTCACCTAAAATAAAAATTTAATTTAAAGTTTATAACCTTTCTCATTGTCCCTTGTAAATATTTAAATGCGTTCATGGTCAAAATAAGTCATGTTTTTAATGATCCAACATATGATAAATGTAATTTTTTGTTTATGTGCACTTTTAGTAAAAACTCACTACTACCGGTATATATAGATTACATAACATGCTTTTAGTATTATTTGTTTTGTTAACAGCCAAACCTTATCATGACATTCATCATACAAGGTACAGATTTTGTTAAACTCAAGTCAAATAACACTCTTTGCCTCTGCTTATTGCTTTAAGTGTTTTTTTTTTTAATAATAATTTTTGTGCCAGGCAATAGTTTGCTGATACATAGTGGGCTGTGCGGTCATCTCTCTATCAAATGGCAATTAATGCGCTATCCTGTCGTCAACCAGACTCAGTCGAACACAAGCACCTGCGGACCTTAACCAAGGTTCCCCCAAAGTCGCATTTATTAGTGAATGAATCTCGGCAAGTGGAATTGACCTTCCCATTGAGTCTGTGGCACACTCTCCGAGGGTAGAGGTCAACCCTTTTAATGTTCAGCCTAAGGTAGGATTTGAACTTGGGTCTACCGCATGAGTCTGATGCGACAACCTTAAGTGTGATGCTTATTTTTGATAAGGAGAATTTATGAGTGAGTTTTTATGCTCTAAACAATACCCATTTACTAGGTAAGTACTTTTTCTTTGTTGAAAACAGTCTACATTAACATGTAATCAGAATGTTTTTCAGAACATGATCCAAACAGAGAGTACAACATTGTCTTCACTATTTCATCATTTTTTCAAGCAACAACACCCTGGATTCAAACCAACAATTATGAGAAGGTTCAATTTTAAAAACAAATATTTGATTGGCTAACTCTTACCCATGGTGTCCACTCCCTTCCTGCCAGCCCTACCAGACATCTGTTTATATGTCAATACATCCAGTAAACGTCTATTAAACATCGGAGTTCTGATGATAACACGTCTTGCTGGAAGATTCACACCTGATGATAAGGTGGACGTTGCAATCAAGATTTTCAGTATTCCCTGTCGAAAAGCGCCCTCTATGATGTCCCTTTCATCAAAGGTCAGACCTTGAGGAATAAACCAAACATAGTAATAACATGTTCCATTTCAACTTGAATGCAAAGAGTAAATCGTTTGTTGACTTATTGTACATGAATAATAGATTATGTTACAATTACCTGCATGATGATATGCTACTGCATATGGTACTGTTCTTTTTAAGACTGAGTCAATACCAACTGGTGTTCTTTTCAGCTGTTCTAGTACATCAATGATACCCTGTTTGTTGAACTGAGCAGGAACAAGTTGAGATGCCTTTACAGGACCTACAATAACAAATTGATGACTGTAAAAACAGTGTTATAACAAGCTCCAATCAACTTTGTCGACAGGAGAGCAAAGATGGCTTCTAAATTGAAATGAAGCTGACAATTCAGTATTCAACTTTTATGTTAAAATAAACTGATCCAATGTTGATCATAATGCCAATAAAATCTAGATTAGAATTCATACTGTCAATGCTAACTCTTGAATTCCAGCATGTCAAATCCAACACCCATTATTTCCAGCATGTCAAATGCCACACCCATTATTTCCAGTGACAAATACACTATATCACAAACCTGCAGTTGTGTGTCCAGTAACAGCAGCACCACTATACAATACTTTAAAAATCTGCTTAGCAATCATCTCTGATAACTTCTCACACCAGTTTTTAGTAGGACAGAAAATCAGCACTGAGTGACCATTAGTAATAGTTTCAAAACACAGTGGTATGATGTGTTCATCATCGCCAGAAACTTGCACAGCAGGACTAATTTCTCGTAACTTCTTCAGTTCAGAATTGTATATCTTGTCACCTATCTTGACACATTCTTCCAATGGTACTGGTCTAAAGTCTGTTTTGTAGAGATCTGCATCTAACCATCGAGCCAAGAGGTCTAGATTTGGCAATGTAGCACTCATTCCAATAATCTGAATAGGGTTGGTATTAGATAATATCCTGCTATCACCCCTACAGATAATAAATAGACAACTATAAAACCATTATATTATGGGTGCTAAAGATGAATACATGTAATAGTGCTAGTATTAGGTATGTCCTGCTATCACAAATCCACAAGCAATATGGCCACGCATCCACAAGAATATGGCCGCCAATTCACAAGAATATGGTCTCCAATCCACAAGGAATATAGACAAAAATCCACAAGAATATGGCCACCAATCCACTAGCAATATGGCCACAAATCCACGAGCAAAATGGCCACAAATCCATGAGAAAAAATGGCCACAAATCCACAAGCAATATGGCCACCAATCCACAAGCAATATGGCCAGAAATCCACGAGTAAAATGGCCAGAAATCCACGAGTAAAATGGCCACAAATCCACAAGCAATATGGCCACAAATCCACAAGAATATGGCCACCAATCCACAAGAATATGGCCACCAATTCACTAGCAATATGGCCACCAATTCACTAGCAATATGGCCACCAATTCACTAGCAATATGGCCACCAATCCACAAGCAATATGGTCACCAATCCACAAGCAATATGGCCACCAATTCACAAGCAATATGGCCACCAATCCACAAGCATTATGGCCACCAATCCACAAGCAATATGGCCACTAATCCACAAGCAATATGGCCACCAATCCACAAGCAATATGGCCACAAATCCACAAGCAAAATGGTCACAAATCCACGAGCAAAATGGTCACAAATCCACGAGCAAAATGGTCACAAATCCACGAGCAATATGGCCACCAATCCCAAGCAGTATGGCCACAAATCAATGAATTATTTTTTTACACATGTATCACTTACATGCATCAGTAAAATTACACCTCTACTATCACTTATCAGTATTACATATAAATGTTACCAAGAACATACCATAATGATTGCAGTCACATAGTTATGTGTCATGTATACTTATTACATATAAATGTTACCAAGAACATACCATTGCAGCCACATAGTTATGTGTCATGTATACTTATTACATATAAATGTTACCAAGAACATACCATTGCAGCCACATAGTTATGTGTCATGTATACTTATTACATATAAATGTTACCAAGAACATACCATTGCAGCCACATAGTTATGTGTCATGTATACTTATTACATATAAATGTTACCAAGAACATACCATTGCAGCCACATAGTTATGTGTCATGTATACTTATTACATACAATGGAATTGTGGTCACTGCATTAGTCCTATATTTGTGTAGACAAAAAACATTTACTGTTACACTGCATTTGCCAAATTACAAGTGTATGTAAATTTAACAGTTACATTTGACATATTTTTACCACAGACTCACCTCTGTCATTTACATATTAAGTATATGCAGTACTAATAAAATACAATATGCAATGTACATGGCATGTCAACCACCACCCCATGATAAAGAAAGAACAAAGAAACAAAAAAGAACTCAGAATGAATGCCATGACTTACTTGTCACCATTAGTACCGGTATCTTCTTTTTTCTGGACCACTTTACTGCTAACATATCTGATTTTTGTCAGTAGGAGTTCAAGAAGATAACCTCTATGTGAGTCTCCTACCATGTGTAACTCGTCTACTACAATAGCACCTATAGATATACAACACAGTGAAATGTTGTGGTAGACTCTTTATCTGACCTTCACTATGTGTGGGTTGATACTATGCTGTGACCTTCACTATGTGTGGGTTGAACTATCTGTGACCTTCACTGTGTGTGGGTTGATACTATGCTGTAACCTACACTATGCGTGGGTTGATACTATGATGTGACCTTCACTATGTGTGGGTTGATACTATGCTGTGACCTTCACTATGTGTGGGTTGATACTATGATGTGACCTTCACTATGTGTGGGTTGATACTGTGCTGTGACCTTCACTATGTGTGGGTTGATACTGTGCTGTGACCTTCACTATGTGTGGGTTGGTACTATACTGTGACCTTCACTATGTGTGGGTTGATACTATACTGTGACCTTCACTATGTGTGGATTGATACTATGATGTGACCTTCACTATGTGTGGGTTGATACTATGATGTGACCTTCACTGTGTGTGGGTTGATACTATAATGTGACCTTCACTGTGTGTGGGTTGATACTGTGCTGTGACCTTCACTGTGTGTGGGTTGATACTATGCTGTGACCTTCACTGTGTGTGGGTTGATACTATACTGTGACCTTCACTATGTGTGGGTTGATACTATGCTGTGACCTAAACTATGTGTGGGTTGATACTATGCTGTGACCTTCACTATGTGTGGGTTGATACTATACTGTGACCTTCACTATGTGGGGGATGAAACTATGCTGTGACCTTCACTACGTGTGGGGTGAAACTATACTGTGACCTTCACTATGTGTGGGTTGATACTATGCTGTGACCTTCACTATGTGTGGGTTGACACTATACTGTGACCTTCACTGTGTGTGGGTTGATACTATGCTGTAACCTACACTATGCGTGGGTTGATACTATGATGTGACCTTCACTATGTGTGGGTTGATACTATGCTGTGACCTTCACTATGTGTGGGTAGACACTATACTGTGACCTTCACTGTGTGTGGGTTGATACTATGATGTGACCTTCACTATGTGTGGGTTGATACTATGCTGTGACCTTCACTGTGTGTGGGTTGATACTATGCTGTGACCTTCACTGTGTGAGGGTTGATGCTATGATGTGACCTTCACTATGTGTGGGTGGATACTGTGCCGTGACATTCACTATGTGAGGGTTGATACTACACTGTGACCTTCACTGCGTGTGGGTTGATGCTATACTGTGACCTTCACTATGTGAGGGTTGATACTATACTGTGACCTTCACTATGTGAGGGTTGACACTGCTGTGACCTTCACTATGTGAGGATTGCCACTGCTGTGACCTTCACTGTGTGTGGGGTTGATACTATACTGTGACCTTCACTATGTGTGGGTTGACACTGTGCTGTGACCTTCACTATATGTGGGTTGATACTATGCTGTGACCTTCACTATGTGTGGGTGGATACTGTGCCGTGACATTCACTATGTGAGGGTTGATACTACACTGTGACCTTCACTGTGTGTGGGTTGATACTACACTGTGACCTTCACTGTGTGTGGGTTGATGCTATACTGTGACATTCACTATGTGAGGGTTGATACTATACTGTGACCTTTACTATGTGAGGGTTGACACTGCTGTGACCTTCACTATGTGAGGGTTGCCACTGCTGTGACCTTCACTATGTGTGGGGTGATACTACACTATGACCTTCAATATGTGTGGGTTGATGCTATGCTGTGACCTTCACTATGTTTGGGGTGATACTACACTATGACCTTCACTATGTGTGGGTTGATACTATATTGTGACCTTCACTATGTGTGGGTTGAAATTATACTGTGACCTTCATTATGTGTGGATTGATACTGTGCTGTGACCTTCACTGTGTGTGGGTTGATACTATGCTGTGAACTTCATTATGTGTGGGTTGATACTATACTGTGACCTTCACTATGTGTGGGTTGATACTATACTGTGACCTTCACTATGTGTGGGTTGATACTATGCTGTGACCTTCACTGTGTGAGGGTTGATGCTATGCTGTGACCTTCACTATGTGTGGGTGGATACTGTGCCGTGACATTCACTATGTGAGGGTTGATACTACACTGTGACCTTCACTGTGTGTGGGTTGATACTACACTGTGACCTTCACTGCGTGTGGGTTGATGCTATACTGTGACCTTCACTTTGTGAGGGTTGATACTATACTGTGACCTTCACTATGTGGGGGTTGACACTGCTGTGACCTTCACTATGTGAGGGTTGCCACTGCTGTGACCTTCACTGTGTGTGGGTTGATACTACACTGTGACCTTCACTGTGTGTGGGTTGATGCTATACTGTGACCTTCACTATGTGAGGGTTGACACTGCTGTGACCTTCACTATGTGAGGGTTGCCACTGCTGTGACCTTCACTATGTGTGCGTGGATACTGTGCCGTGACATTCACTATGTGAGGGTTGATACTACACTGTGACCTTCACTGTGTGTGGGTTGATACTATACTGTGACCTTCACTATGTGAGGGTTGACACTGCTGTGACTTTCACTATGTGAGGGTTGCCACTGCTGTGACCTTCACTATGTGTGCGTGGATACTGTGCCGTGACATTCACTATGTGAGGGTTGATACTACACTGTGACCTTCACTGTGTGTGGGTTGATACTACACTGTGACCTTCACTATGTGAGGGTTGCCACTGCTGTGACCTTCACTATGTGTGGGTTGATACTATGCTGTGACCTTCACTATGTGTGGGTTGATACTACACTGTGACCTTCACTGTGTGAGGGTTGACACTGCTGTGACCTTCACTATGTGAGGGTTGCCGCTGATGTGACCTTCACTATGTGTGGGTTGATACTATGCTGTGACCTTCACTATGTGAGGGTTGACACTGCTGTGACCTTCACTATGTGAGGGTTGACACTGCTGTGACCTTCACTATGTGAGGGTTGACACTGCTGTGACCTTCACTATGTGAGGGTTGCCACTGCTGTGACCTTCACTATGTGTGGGTTGATACTATGCTGTGACCTTCACTATGTGAGGGTTGCCACTGCTGTGACCTTCACTATGTGTGGGTTGATACTATGCTGTGACCTTCACTATTTGTGGGTTGATACTATGCTGTGACCTTCACTATGTGTGGGTAGATACTATAATGTGACCTTCATTATGTGTGGGTTGATACTGTGCTGTGACCTTCACTATGTGCGGGTTGATACTATGCTGTGAACTTCATTATGTGTGGGTTGATACTATACTGTGACCTTTACTATGTGTGGGTTGATACTATACTGTGACCTTCACTGTGTGGGGGTTGATGCTATACTGTGACCTTCACTATGTGTGGGTTGATACTGTACTGTGACCTTCACTATGTGTGGGTTGATACTATGCTGTGACCTTCACTGCGTGTGGGTTGATACTTGCTGTGACCT